ACTAAAATTTGATCTGTCAGAGTCATGCTGTAAAGTTGCCCACCTATGTTCGAGTCGACCGCTTTTGCTTATGTAAGCAGTGTCACACCCAATGATTGATTTTTTGAGCTTTCATATGACTTGCCTGGCTTCAAATTGAACTTGTTTCTGGGGTTATGGAGCCATATTAATCCGATGGAAACACTGTTTTGGTCTGAAAAAATCATATTCTAGAGTGATGCTACCCCCTCCTTCTCCTTTGCCTTGACTTCTGAACCACTCAGATGTACATCTAGATGGGCCAGGTGGCTTGGACTTGCGCTCATCTGACGACAGTTTTCCTTTGCCTCGACCTCTTACTCGCTCAGAGCCATGTCTCACTGCGTTGTGAATGCTCAGCGAGGAAGCTACAAGCAAATGTACCAGGTGACTTATGCTCATTTAGCGATGATTCACTCAGATGCGTTGTAGAGACTCCATTGCGAGTAGCCTCACAAAGGCCGTATTTCCACTTTGTCTCCACTAACGCGCGCTATATACGACAAGGCGACTTAAACGCGCTAAACGCGCGACGCTTCCGCCTAATCCGCGCATCCGCGCATCTGGCGCCTATAGCGCGCCTCTATAGCGCCTTTCGCGTTACTACGGCGCCTTTGCGCGCACTTTCGCGCTTTACCTTCGTGTTCGCTTTTCCAAGTCGCCTGTCCTCCGCACGTCCTGTCCTGTCCCTCTATGATCTGCTGGTGCGTCTCCCTTTATCTTGTCAACTGACTTTAGCTATATACCTCGTCTGTTTACACATATTTCCTTATTCTACAACACAACAACTCTTTTTCGCTTCGCTTCCGCTTCGGCTCAGCGCCTGGGAACATTTACCTTAGACATGGGGACTCTGATAGATTTTTCACTTACTTACTTACTCACTACATCCCATCATCCTGCATCAGTGTATACTGTGAATCAATTTCTATTCATTTGCAACACAACCACTGCGCGACTCTCTATTCTTTTGCAACAAGCTCTCTTGAGAAAATCTGGAGAGACCTTCGCGCTACTTCCGCCTCTTCACTAACGCCTATAGCGCGCTTGTTCCGCCTCGCGGTTCCGCCTACGTCGCGCTTTCGCCTTTCGTCGCGTTAACGCGCGTTTCGCGTTTACAAGGCGTCTCGCACCCGCGCTTTGCGCAGATTCCCTTGCTGACTCGTTCAGCGCATCCCCTCGCATTTACTCGAGGAAAAGACTCAGTAAAGATCCTCTTGGGCCGACTTCTACTCGCGTTCGAGGACTACTGCAGGCGACTTATCTTATATTTTTCAGTATAGACCCACTCACGATTCCTCATCTTCAGCGTGTCAGCGAGGAGCCATGAGTGAGTGAATGTATGATGTGACTTGCACTGATTCAATGCCTCGCGCAATCTCTGAGCTGAACCGGCATCAACTCTAGGAGGGCATCTCATATTTGATGTACTTGCAGGGTGGTCTGACTTGGAGACGAGGAGTCGTCATCCCAGGCCTGGGCCTCTGGTGCCTCGATTACATACTCTATATGCAGTGGATTCTCAGGGGAAAATGTCACTGTGTGAGCCGGAGGACCATGACCTGGGCATCACCTGGTGTATTGAGCGCTATCGTCTATGCTACTGGCAGCATGGTCAACAACAGTCACTTCCAGGAATAATAGGTGAAACCAAAAGACTGGTTGATCTGCCAAGTTCTTGAGAATATTTCATGACGCCAATACTTTGTCTAGGGTGATGTGTTCTGAGGCATTGTCATAATTCTTTGATAGTCTTGCCTTCCTTGGCATGGCACTTCATACACAACACTGGTTCTACCTCAAACACATTCATATCCAAAATTTATAATTCACATTAGCGATAATAGTGACATGGATAGCAAATGCTCTCAGAAGCGAAAATTATTTATACTATTCTAACAGTTACATTAAACACAATTAACTAAACCCTCATAGAAGGGTGAGAGCTATCTAAACAGCCATCAGTTGATCTCAAAAAGCCTCATGAGGCGAAAATAACTGGCACTATTATCAATAGTAGGCTCCCATTGAGGAGTGACAACCAGTCAAAGGCCCCCAGACCCACAAAGTGAAAAAAAGCGAAAAAAAACTGGTACTATTATCAATAGTAGACTCCCATAGAGGAGTGGCAACCAGGAAAAGTCCCCCAGACCCACAAAGTGAAAGAAAATGCGAAAATAGCTGGCACCATTATCAATGGTGGACTCCCATAGAGGAGTGACAACCAGCAAAAGAGGCCCCCAGACCAACAAAGTGAAAAAAAAGCGAAAATAGCTGGCACCATTATCAATGGTGGACTCCCATAGAGGAGTGGCAACCAGCAAAAGAGGCCCCCAGACCCACAAAGTGAAAAAAAGCGAAAAAAGCTGGCACCATTATCAATGGTGGACTCCCATAGAGGAGTGACAACCAGCAAAAGAGGCCCCCAGACCAACAAAGTGAAAAAAAGCGAAAATAGCTGGCACCATTATCAATGGTGGACTCCCATAGAGGAGTGGCAACCAGCAAAAGAGGCCCCCAGACCCACAAAGTGAAAAAAAGCGAAAAAAGCTGGCACCATTATCAATGGTGACTCCCATAGAGGAGTGACAACCAGCAAAAGAGGCCCCCAGACCCACAAAGTGAAAAAAGCGAAAAAAGCTGGCACCATTATCAATGGTGGACTCCCATAGAGGAGTGACAACCAGCAAAAGAGGCCCCCAGACCCACAAATTCAAAAAAAACAGTTTGGGGTGAGTGAAGAAGAGGGAAGAAAGAAGGAATGAAAATTTTTGGTTCAAGTTCACCGCATTTTTGCTTATATAAGCATTTCTAAATACAGCCCATCACTCAGAAATTCACATATATTCCAGAGTGATGCCGCTGTCTCCCCCTACCTACTGTGCCCAGAGGCATGATTCCATGTCAATACTGATGTTCCTGAACTCATGGACCAGTAGAAACAACGGTTTGATATGTCAAAGTCATGTTGTTGCAAAGTTGCTCACCTATGTGACCGCTTTTGCTTATGTAAGCAGTGTCACCCCTGTGATGCTGCCTCACCCAATGATTGATTTTTGAGCTTTCATATGACTTGCTTGGCTTCAAATAGAACTTGTTTCTGGGGTTATTTGGCCATCTGAATCTGATGGGAACACTGGTTTGGTCCGAAAAAATCATATTTCAGAGTGATGCTACCCCCCTCCCCCTCCCCCTACCTACTGTGCCCAGAGGCAGGATTCCATGTCGATACTGATGTATAAAAGGATGTTTCTGGTGTTTTTGGATCATATTAATTGATTGGAGATGGTCTCAGAGTCATCTGGGCTCATGTGAATTGTGATGTGTCAGTTGACCTGATACCCCCCCACAAAGATCGATTTTTTCAGGCTTCCCATGACTTGCCAGTACTCCAAAACTATTCTTCCTGGGGGTTCTTCATCCATCTGAACACGATGGTCGAGCCAGATTTCCCAGAAAAAATCATGTTCTTGAGATATGCAGGGCCCCCCTCCCCCCTCCTAACTCATATATCTTGATATTATGTAAATACCGATATATCAAAAGATGTTTCTAGTGTTTTATGATCACAGAAATCGATTGGAGATGGTCCTGGAGTATTCCCGGCTTGTCTGAATTGAAATATGTCAGTTTGCCTCATGCCCCCCCCCACAAAGATCGATTTTTTACAGACATCCCATGACTTGCTGGTGCTCCAACAGCATTTCTCCCGAGGGCTATTGATCATTCTGAACACGATGGTCGAGCCAGATTTCCCAGAAAAAATCAGGTTCTGGAGATATGCAGGGCCCCCCTCCCCCCTCCTAACGCATATATCTGGATATCATGTAAATACCGATATATCAAAGGGTGATCCTAGTGTTTTATGATCACTGAAATCCATTGGAGATGGTTTCAGAGTATTTCTAGCCTGTGTGAAATAAAATAGGTCAGTTTGCCTCATACCCCCCCACAAAGATCGATTTTTACAGCATTCCCATGACTTGCCAGTGGTCCAAAAGCATTTTTCCTGGGGGCTCTTGAGCCCTCTGAACACGATGGTCGAGCCAGAATTCCTAGAAAAAATCGCGTTCTTGAGATATACAAGGTCCTCCTCCCCCCTCCTACCCCCTATATTTTGCTGTACTTGATTTTAACTCAAAACCGATACTGTAAAGGACTGTCCTAGGGTTTTTCAGGTGTAGGAATCGATTGGTGATGGTCCTGGACCATCTGGAGGTCGATATTGGTGACATATGGTGGTGGGGCCAAAAGGGCAGTATTTTGAGCATATCTCCATAACCCAACCGCCGATTTCTCTAATTCTTGGCTCATATCATTCCTAGACGTACCCTCCATGATATGTACCAGCCCACAAAAAGAAATAGTTTCACAAGTTTGAAACCTATTTCAGTTTTGACCATATAAATTCAGCTTTCGATCGAACATGGGATTAATCACATGGGCCACCGCGATATAATTCATTCCACAAATGTAATGACTTGATCTGAGACGAATCATAGTGTAAGAAATGAAATTAAGTAATGACGGTAAATATTGCTAGATCACTGCCTTTGTACAAGTCAAGCAGTAGTATCTGGGAATGATCTCATCCGTTGCTGGCAGAACTGCTTTCTGCATAATGTCCTTCCATCCATCAGGTAGTCGTCCAAGGGTCCTCGCCTGCTCGATCAGCGCGATTGCCTGTACTATGAGTGATCCATTCCCAACTATTCCACATGATCCTCCTCATCGAATTGGCATGGTCAATAGTGACATGAACTGTGGGTCAAAGTCGATATCACGAAAATTGGATGGCAGGCCTGCCTTCACATTGCTTCTTATCTGACGACAATGAGTTGCAACACATGTCTCATTAAACCACCGCTGACACTTCCTGCAGTATCGCTGCAGGTTTGTTGGTGAAGAGAACACGGGATCACATTTATTGCATCCGCACTTTGACGCATTCTGAGAGTTCTGTAGCTGTCGTCAGCTTGAGATCAAAGCAAAGAGGTGAAAAGAGGACAGAGAGAGAGGCGTACGCTAACGTTCACCCCTTCCATATAAACAACATTCCTATGCTTTGAGAACTCGACGTCAATGGTCCATCGATTGTACAGTGTCCTTATAGGTATCTGTGGCTGCTCGAGATCACCTTCATTGTATGGCAAGATGGTCGCATGATCTACAAGTATGTAAATGTAATCCATCAATAGTCCGTGAATCTCGAAGAACGTACCCTCGACGCAACGTATATCTACTACAGACGTGTGATTACTGAGAACAAGCTCATATTCACCCACACATCTCGCAAGACTAAATGAACGCATTTGTCAAAATATTATTTCAGTGATTGATGGTAAATATACAAACGTACTCGACATCCTCATCTTCCAAATCCACCTTTCTGTAATACCACTGCATTTCGAGCCACACGTCCTTCAAGTAAGGTGTAAAATAAATGAGGTCTAGTCAAATAACGAATGTACTTGCCTGTACTTGTCGCCCAGTCTTCAGGTAGATGTCGGCTACCTTGCCATACCAATAAGAAATCGCTGGTAGACTACCATCTTGCATTGGCACTGCTCTTTCATCGAGGGGAAATATTGCGAGACTGCACAAAGTACTTCAGGATCACCCTCCAGTATACAGACCAATTCGTACTCTTCCCCTACTCAAATGACCATCCGGTTATCATCAATATCATCAGAGTTGTCGTTAGTATTGTGGACCCCTGTCAAAACAAGGTATGCGATCATAAATCAGAAATTAAAAGACCACCAGTGGGAAAAGATTCAGCGTACATTCTAAAGACGTGCATCGCCTCAATCGCTGAAGCTTGGGATGACTATGGCGCATAGGGGTTAGTGTTCTCCTTCCCCCTGTGCGGGATGCACAGCTGGAAATTGATGGTCGGTGGGACATAATAGTTGGGGTGGAACAGCAAGTGCTAGCAAGATGGTCGAGCACTTTTTAAAAACCAATAGGTACCTTGCAGCGGGAGCTATTGTACGTCCTCTAAAGATGTAATAATCTGGTGAACGGATCAAGAAAATAAGACAAGGGTTGCCCTTACGACATTCTATGCAGTGTTACATCACATAAATGATGAAATCGGACTTCAGCTCATTGAAAGTCAATTCTCCATTCAATTAAACCGAAACCTTAAGATGGCCGAATAATGCAGAGGAAATGGCAGGATGGGGTCAGTAAATCGACCGACAGGAATTGTATATAGAATACGTGATCGCCTAGTTATTACATCGAGGAACAATTCGCTTCATTGCGGCCCATGCACATGGACGTTATGGGGAATTTCGGGCTGAACATCATATAATAATATTTGCAACAGTGTCCACCACTCACACAACAGCACACAGCGTCTAATGGACGACGACGAGTCTGTCGACCTTCTCCAGCAAATATTTGAATTGAAGATCCTGGATTGGGATACGGAGGGTTCAATCATCCCAGAGACTAATGTTAATCAAGCTGTCAAGAGTGCGTATGAGGACGCATTAAAGCCTACTGGCAATATTGGAGCACCATCTGCAGGCATAGAACGATGCCATATTTTGGACCAGGGGAAGGATGAGATCGCAAAACAAAAGCCAAAGCGAGGCAGGCCACGAAAGAGAGTTGTTCAACGTCGTGAGTACATCAACTGATCCCCTGTTTACATATCAAATTGAGACTCTTATGCAGGTGTAAAGTTGGTACCCATACTCCCACCTGATGGACCAGCTCAGAACATCAAGCATACAAATGCACGAGTCATCCGTGCTACAATCAGTCCGGTCCCAGAGAGTGTGTCACAAGACGTCGATGTGCTTCGTGATAGCCTGACTGATCTACACCTCGCGAGCACAATAGACGAGGAGGATGAGCAATGGAAGATGGCTGATGATGAAGAGTCGCATACAGCTGACGTCTTGCAGCAGATCATGTTATCTGGCATCCTGGATTGGAGCCCACTAGAAGACGATAACTCAAATAGCGATGATGATGTGAGGGCACAGTCAAAGAAAAGAGATGTCAGGGGCATACCAAAACAGACGGATCATTCAAAGGTACATAAACAACGCCGTCCACGTGGACGACCAGCACGAAAAGCGACTACACATCGTGAGCTTCTATAATTGACCTCTATCCGTATTTACTTGACCATTGGTGTAGGACAACGTCAAGAGGTAATGGTATCAACGGATAAGATATCATCATCCAAGGAGCTGCGGAATCGTAATTCTAGGTGCATCATCCGTGCTACAAGCAAACCCGTCCAGGACGACAAGCATGAATATGTGGGTCACTGCGAGCGTGACAATGACAATGACCTATGCATAGAGGAGGATGAACCAAGAAATGGTCGATCAAGTAATAGGCGACTCAGGGGACGTCCGAAAAGGCGCGTTGTGCGTGCCAGAGAGACCGGTCAGTGATATTCGAAATACTGATTGAATCTACATGTCAACGATATCGAATATGCAGCGTCCAAACGGGCAGTCGTTCATGAATCACATTTAAGTGAATTTCAATCGAACACCCATCGTAAGCATCTTACACGTTTTTTACTGCCGTGCATGTGTTGTAACATCTTTCATCAGGGAGTCCAACACACTCTCGCAGCAGAATACCTGATGATGAGTATAGGTTATCTCCACCACCAGAGGCCATCGGTCAATCGCCTTCGCGTGAAGCCTCACCACCTACGATACCTGAACTGACAGTCGAGGAAATCGCTTGTGAGTTCATCATAAATTTTACATAGGATAAAACACTTATTTTATTCGCCCCAATCACAGCTCGTGCAATGGCCAGACCGGGTGTTTGGACATCTGTTTTAGACACTTGGGCAAGTCTCGGGTTGAATGAGTGGCTTGAGGCCACAGTAGCAGACTTTTATTTGTCCCATGTGTGGTATGAGCTGCTTGACAGATCACGCATGAGATACATGAATATGCATACAGCAATGGCGGCCGAGATGGAGGATGAGGAAGTGGAGCTCTTCCGGAGGAGCTCTTTTATACCTCCTGATGGCATATGTCCTATTGTCCCTGTTGGATTCGTAGTCCACCACTCCGATCATTTCTTTACAGTGATTTTTGACTATCAGCGACAAAAGGCCCATGTCCTGGGTCGCCATATATCCAACGACGCGATGGACATCGACGGACTAGATCCAGACGACTGGAACGAGTGGAGAGGACCGGATTATTGGAGGAGAATTGGTGCCCTTCATGGCTGGGGCACAGGGGATGTCGCTGATGTGTCTGTGATATCAATGGATTGGGAGCAAAATGGAGTAGATTGCGGTCCAATTGCTTGCTCCGTGCTCGAGCAATGCCTCAGCGCTGGATTAGATGAGCACGGTAACTTGCCAGTGTTTCAAGTTCAGTGCGGCCACAAGCTGCGCATCCAGATCTTGGGTCTGATTGCTGGTCGTGTCAGGCTCTGTTGTAGCGACTATCTCATGCTCCTTGATGTCGCACGAGAGGAATGGCGAGAGGACGAGCTGCCAGGCGAAGATATCATCAATGCGATTCAGAATGGGCGGCACCAGGCTGAATGCCTAAAGCTCCTGCGGAAATTGACCGTTGTTAGCGCAACCTGCTCAATATGTCAACGTCCCGTGGTAAATCAGGAGATGGATCACCCCTCACACAATGGCAAGAATGGAGTTCGAACCCCAGTCGATCAGGAGGATGGTTGTGACGCTGAACGGAGTGATGAAGAGGATTCCATGGGTACGACCCTGCCTACGGGTAGAAAGAAGAACCTCCCGAAGCTTTTCAAAGCAATCAAGCAACTGACTGGATCTCGAAATCGGAATGATATAGTCCCTCGTGCGGTTGGCACGCACATTCAAGTCGAGCCGGACACGCAACCTGATGTCCAGGATACCACCGACTCACAACGCTCTGTATCCGCCTCAGCATCTCGTAGGAGAGTGAAAGATTGGCATCTTGGAAGCAACAAACGATTTCCACGTCCCATTGCACCGCGCTCTCTGGCTGCATATGCAGGTCGGAGGTGGATTCCCGATGACCGCACGTTCGACGATTATGAAGGTGGACCAACGATCGAGATGTTAGTAACTCCCAGGGAAATCAATCAGGCGATGACATTCCAGGCGGGAGGAATCCAGATCTCCACTGCTTGGGTGCACTGGGTTGATCATGGCTACCGCATCACCCCTAGCTCATTCCATATATTCTATCAATGCGACCCCATAGCCACCATGGACCATGTCATGCCCATTGGCACAACCGACTCCCATGATCCTTCAAGTCAGGTTCCAGACCGCGTAACAGGCGCATATAGTCTGGCTCGACTAGGGTCAGATGGGGGAGCACGTCAAACGCACGTCGCAGATGTAGAAATTCTGGCTGCATCTGAACTGATCGACTCTGCCCAACATGATCCCCCACTCCATCATCAATGTAGGTTCGGACACAACGCCTTTGTTCGTGGCTGCACCAGTCATCGTTATGGCGATGGCACGTCCTTGTATGTCGACCTTGAACGAGATTCCGTTAGATTTTCAGAAGACGAAATAGAGATTTCTTTAGACATAGACAGTATCATTTGGACCACGAAGGAGTTCCGATGCATGGGGTCCGTGGGGATCTATCTCACTCCGTCATTTCAAACGAAACCTGGCATATTCAAGCACAATCACACATATGTCGACATCACAATTCCACAGTCAGAAGCAGATGCCAGTGCGCCCGGTGGTAGGACAGAATGGTTGTCAAAACGATTTCCGATGTCTGCCATCCCTCATACCGGTATTGGGCGCATATCCTCGGCTTCATCGACACTCAATCTATATATCGCATTTCCTAGGATGATACATCAACACCCAGTAAATGGGCGAAGAATCACGCTGATGCCAAAGGAAACTTTGGACATCTTTTGGGATAGAGTGCTACTTCTATCCATAGGTGACTGCACTGATGTTAGTTGGGCGCCTTACCTTAAGCACACATTGGAGGAGGCACGATACAAGGCTAGAGGTGGTGATGGACGAAAGGCTGGATGGGGCGCTCCAAAGACAATACCACTGTCGAATGATGACTTCATGGATGTGCAGGAGCGCATGGAAGCTCGCATACGCGATGGAGAGGGCGAGCTGAGCATGTATGGGTCGTCTTTCTTTATTCTAGAAGGAAAGGGAATCAAGCTCCTTACCAAGGATGGTCAGCGAGGGCGTTTCGAAGGGCCGGAAGAGGCACTGCGTCGAAATCTGTCCGACCTTGACTGGCCATACATGATGAACAGGAGGCATGGCGAGCTGCTGGTGGACGTGGGGATCTCATTTACGCCTCACTCCCCAGATGTTCCAGTGGTAGGAGTGTGGAGATTAGACGCGTTGGAGGCATCATTTGGAGCAGGAGGCTACAAGAGGGGTGAAATACATCATCACAACACGCTCTCTAGATATGGGGCAATGCAGGCCGAGATGCAGCAGGAGAGATCTCAACAAACCCACATCGCATTCAGGAGCACCTACAACCTCTACTATGAGTCAATACGGACGAACAACAACCAAGCGAATTTCGCATCTGACAGTGATGCATACAAGCTGTCCCCATCTTACATGGCTGAATGCTTCGAAATCGCAAAGGTTGTCGATGGTTGCAAGGATAAAACATATGGTGTTAGGGACGAGTATAGGGTCAGTGGACATGCAGCCAGAATAATGCTGGATAATATGGAAAGCAAGGTCGGTAATCTGCATTTCATGTATGATTGGAATGCGAGCTGAATATCTCTGGCGATAATTTACATGTAGGCTAGAGAATACCTGCAGTCAGATCCAATCCTGTGGGTCCCATCCAAAATCTGGTTCGAGCTTATCAGGCGGCGGGTGCGGGAGATTCAGAGGACCCAGATATCCATCGTCAAAAAGAATCCTCCAAATC